GCTCCGACTGACGGCTGCTGGGAGCAGGGGGGGGGGCTTGTTGCATGTCCCCGCCCCCTGGGCTCTTTACTGCCGGAGCTCCGCTCCTGTGCGCTCCTGCAGGAAATGACCCCTGCCAGTAGGCCCCACTAGGATCCCCACAGACAGTGGTCATTCACAGAAGAGTTGGTGGATGGGCAGACTGTTGTTCCACTCTCCTGGCCAGCCACGGGGCTCGCTGAGGCGCATCCAAGAGGACTTTCTGCCTTCTTGTGTTTGCCGACCATCTCTTTGGGCCGCTCCACGGGAATGCCAGAGCCGGGCAGCAGGGCCCCTTCGCTGGGGATAACTGTGACCCTATGAGTGTGCGCGGGGGGGGGGGGGGGGGGGGGGCAGAGAGCGGAACGGAGCACGGCCACCCCCCTGCTTCTTCCTGCCGTCAGTCCACTGGGAGCAGGCAGACCTTTCACAGCGCAACGGGGGACACGGGGGGTGGGACTTCCTCACGTCCCCTTCAGGGGAGGGTCCCAGCTCAAGAAGTCAGGATACCAGGAGGACACCGTAGCCTCTGCCATGGCCAGCCTGCCCCCCCCCAGCCTTGTCCCACCTTTGGCCCCTCCAGGCTGGGGGGGTCCGTGTGCAGGGCAGCCCCTCCGAGGCAAGACGGTGCTTGGCCCACACGCAGTCCCTCTCACCAAGCACTCCAGCGGTGCTGCGGTTCTTCTCAGCCAGGAGGCTTCCCTCCCAGGGAGAGAGGAGACGGCCAGCCTCGGCCCCAGCAGGAGGCAGAAGGGGAACTCCAGCATCCCACCCTCGAGCGTCCCAGGGACGCACCCTGAGCGTGGGGGGCGTTTGAGTCCATCTTCGGTTCCCTGCTTCCCTCCACCAGTGTCCCAAGGATGACTTATTCTTCCACATTGCCATGGCAAGTCACCCCTTCTGGCAGCAAGTTTGGTTGGATCAGTCCTGACTCTTCCGCCCTGAGCCACGAGGGTTAATCATAGAATCATAGAATGGTCAGAGTTGGAACTGGGACCTCGCAGGTCATCTAGTCCAACCCCCTGCACTCTGCAGGAGCAGAGCTGAAAGACAGCCCTACAACACACCCGAAAGAGGGTCGCCCAGCCTCCGCTTGGAAATGTACAGAGAAGGAGCACCCACCACCTCCCGAGGCAGTCTGTTCCACTGCTCAACCACTCTCACAGTCAGGAAGTTTCTCCTGATATTTAGCCGGGAACGACTCCCTTGTAATTTCCACCCATTAGACCTAGTCTTGCAATCCGGAGCAAGAGAGGATAGTTCTGCTCCATCTTCTACATGAGAGCCCTTCAGATACTTGAAGACTGCAATCATTCATGTCCCCTCTAAGCCTTCTCTTTCCCAGGCTAAACAGACCCAACTCTTTCAGCCTTTCCTCGTAAGGCTTGGATTCCAACCCTCTCACCACCCCGGTTGCCCTCTTACAAGCTCTGCTGCTTAGGAGTTGAATTCAGGATACCCAAGGGTTGGGCCACTTCAGTGACATCGTTCCAGAGGGGCAGCCGTGTTGGTCTGCAGGAGAGGAGCCGGATCGGAGTCCTTAGGGACCAACCGGGTTCTTGGGGTAGGAGCTCTGGAGCAAGAGACCTCCCTCGCTCGGGTTCCTGACTCTCCACATGGCTCCTCCCCTGGAAATCTTGTGGGTCTCTAAGGGGCTGCTGGACTCAGATCGAGCTGTTCATTGGGCAGGATGGGATGTGAAGACAGGAATGGGTGGGCTTCCCCCAGGCCAAAGGGAGGCTGCCCACCCCTCCCCACGGGGGATCACCCTACAGCAGCCGTACCAAGGAGGAAGCCACTCCCGCTCTTGTGCTTCAGAAAGGAGTGTTTGTGCGCAACCTATGTGTAGAGCCAGCTGCTGGTGTGGACTGAATTCATACCTGAGGTGGGTGTTTGCCTGCAGATCGTGAGAGGGAGGGCAGGAAGGGTTGCCTCCCTGCTTAGTTCTCGCGGCCCTTTCTTACACACCCAGGGAAACGCCAATCACCACTTTGAGTTCAGGAAGCAATTTTTCTCCAGGCCATTTTGGCCAGGGATCTTCTGGAGGTTTTTTTTTTTTTTTCATCATCTGGGCATGGAGCAGGGGGTCACTCACTGGAGTTTTGGTGGGGAGGTATTTGTGAATTTCCTGCGTTGTGCCGGAGGGGGTGGACTAGATGACCCTGGAGCGCCCTTCCAACTCTATGATCCTGTGATTCTATGACTTGATCTCTTTGGCCAGCAAGGCACCCTGTCCTGATTTGGGGGAAGTTCCCAGTCTGTGGCAGTCGAATCCAGCAGCGGTCCAGGGGCGCCTGCAAGACGAGTGTGCCCTGTATTCCTGGTGGCATCACTGGGGCCAGTCCTTCAGGGTCCGGTGGGGTCCACTCCAATGCCCTCGTCGCCATGGGTGGAGAGTGCTTTGCCTTGCCGCTCCCCCCCCCCCCGCTTTCCCTTTCACACCTTCTCTCCCTTCTCCATGAAATTGCTGAGCGGTCGGGTTAGAACGGATAAAAGGAAGTCCTTCTTCACCCAAAGAGTGATTAACACATGGAACTCATTGCCACAGGAGGTGGTGGCGGCTACAGGCATGGACAACTTCAAGAAGGAATTAGATAAGCATATGGAGCAGAGGTCCATCAGTGGCTATTAGCCACAAGGTATAGATAGGGACTCTTGGGGAAGTGATGCTCTGTCATCTTGGTGCTTGGGGGGGTCAACAGTGGGAGGGCTTCTAATGTCCTGGCCCCACTGCTGGACCTCCTGATGGCACCTGGTATTTCTGGCCACTGTGTGACACAGAAGAGTGTTGGACTGGATGGGCCTTTGGCCTGATCCAACATGAGCATCTCTTATGTTCTTATGTTCTCAGGCGGGACGCGAGTACTCCCCCCCGGGGGCCACCCCGGAGAATGGAGGGGGCAAGAAGAAGCAGAAGGAGAAGGAGCTGGACGAACTCAAGAAGGAAGTCAACCTGGTGAGAGAGGGGGCGGGGGGCAGCTGTCCGGGGGGGGCGGGGGCGGGACAGAGCTCCTTTAAAGGAGCAAAACTGTGCTCTGCTTTCGAGCTCCTGGCTGCCTCCCAGGGAGCTGGGCTCTCAAGGGTGGGGGACACAACCCCATGCCCCCCCTCACCCAGGGTGTGGTGTTTGGGTGGCGTGGGGGGCATCCCAGGGATAGAGGGCTGGCAGGAGGCCTGGACAGTCTGGGGAGAAACGCACCCCCTCCTCCCTTTGGATCACAGTCCCCTGTCAGGTTGCCAGCTTTGGGCTGGGAAATACCTGGAGACTTTGGGGGTGGAGCCTGGGGAGGGGAGGGGCCTCCTCAGTGAGCCGTGATGCCAGAGAGTCCGCCCTCCGAAGTGGCCGTTCCCTCCAGGGCAACCGATCTCTGTCACCTGGAGACGAGCTGTAATTCTGGGAAATCTTCAGACACCACCTGGAGGGTGGCAACCCCAATCACATGCCAGGCCGTTCAGCTCTGCACCAGTGTGACTCACGGCCTGTGCCTCTT